TGTAGCTTAGACTTAAGCTTCGCCGGTATTTATAGGAAGTTTGTCCCCAATTATTTAAGACTACCGTCTACTCCTAGTTGGAATATGGTGGCACACCTAGATTCTAGTCTTAGTTTCTCCATAATTCGTGTTTGAACCTTACAAGTTTCCTTTCTCATTAGTCAATTTAAGTCACATGTTAATTATGTGTTTCTATGATTTAGGCAATTTCCTTATTGGTTGCCTAGTATTGCCTCTAATTTTTCGGGATAACCTAGCTATCTCCTCGATTGGACCAACTTTAGCTCGGTCGGGGTAGTCTAATTACCCGTTCGGTCGAATCTTATTTTCTGCTCAGTCGGAATAGCCTAGCTACCTGTTCGGTCGAGCTTACTTTTGGTCGGCCAGGTTAGTCTAGCTACCAACCTGGCTAAATCCAAAATCTACTCAGCTATGTAGTAGAATCATTCCAAATAACTCTTTTCAGCACGTGCGACCTACTACGTGTCCAAGTCCAATTGTCAAATGATGATCAGAATTTATCGACCCCTTCATGAGACAACCACCTCACTCTGGACTCCGTTTTTTTTGGGAGGTAAGTCATCCATGACTAATAAATTTCAAATAAACTCAAAGTTTTGAATTTTATTGGACACTATTTCTTGTGCTTAGGTGGACCTAGCCCAATCAACTGATCATATTGGAATGAGATTTTAGTCAATCCAAATTCAAATTCGATTTAACACTCCGATCTAAATCCTATTCGATTATCCGATGGTGCTATTTTCACAGTCCATATTTGCTTTTAAAACTGAGACCTTGATTAAAATTCCTATCCAAATAATTATTTAAAGTTGAATTTTCTGTAAATCAAATCTTTATTCAATTTCAACTAATATTTAGTTAGTGCATCAAATAGATGTACATATGCATATATAATTCAAATCGGATCAAATTGACACATGTAACTTTGCCAATTATGCTGATAAGTTTTATGCATGTTATTTATTTTTAAGTTAAATTTCATAGTTGGTCCCTGAACTTTGCCTCGGGTTTCAATTTGGTCCATGAACACTTTCATTTGTCCCATTTTGGTCCCTCAACTATCAATTCTGTCATAATTAAGCCCTTCCGTTCATTTCCACCATTAGATCAACGTTGAAATGGATCAAATTGGGCTAGTCTCCGGTTGATCTAACTGTGAAAACTGATGGAATGACTTAATTGAGACGAAATTGATTGTTGAGGAACTAAATTGAGACAATTGAAAGTTCAGAGACCAAATTGAAACTCGAGGCAAAGTTTAGGGTCCAATTATGATATTTACCCTTTATTTTAGATATCATGATTGAACGACTTATGGTACTATAGAAGGATTTATTGGACTATACTTGCAAAAGCTTCATTTCATATGATGCAAGCATGCTTTAACTATGAAATAAGGGGAATTTATGGAGATACATCCAGTCATTGAGAACAAGATACTGAAAGCTTCAAACAAGTAGTCTGCTATGGAGTCACAATAGATCTTCTAGAGGCAAGCCGAAGCGGAGAGGAATTGATAGAGAAATTCATAGACCTAGGTGGGATAGGAAAATAAAGGGGATAGAGATCATATTGAAAACAAAATAATTCCTCTTTCTCATTAACAAAACTATCTTTTTAATATCAGAGATTGGAATATTGTTAGATATTCGAAGTATTTGTCTGAGACAAATATAGTGGTAATATAAAACCAATTTCAGCAACAAGATGTAGTAATATAGTGTACAGTTGTGGTTTGTGGGTTATTGTACTAACCCAATGTTTGAGTTGTAACTACAAGTCCAAAGGTGCATGGTAAGGACGACTCTTTGCTCCCACCATAAAAGAGTACAGTTTTCAGTAAATTATGGAATCAATTTGGTTGTATAAGCCCCAAGGGTGCAATTGTGACAATCTATATGAACCAAAAGATCCAACAAAGTATGCCACTTATTCTACTTCCATTACTGGATCAGAATGGATCCAACAAACAGTATAAGCTGTTTAAATAGAAACTTCTGTTCCCCAACTCAAGCTGGCTAGCCAGTTGTCAAATGACTTATGAACTCCTCTCAATTTGACTTCTCAGGCTCTGGTCATCATTTGGATATCCTTCAAGTTCAACACACCTTGACAGTTCCTCTTTCTTCTTTAGAAAAATTCTTTTGTTTCTCTCAGGCCATGCATGGCAAACTGCCATAAAAGAAATAAGGAATACCCTTGCAACTGCTAAATAGCCCATACGACCTCATGATGCCAACCTATTGCCTCTCTAAACATTAAGCCTTTTAGCAATGTAATGTTTCAAGTAATATAGTCTGAAAATATGAGATAATCAGTACTCTCCAAAGGCAGGTTTATGACACACATTAGCATATATGATAATCCCCCAGTCAAGCAAATATCACCAGTTGTGACTTTTCTTTGATAAGCAAGGCATGGTATGAAAGAACATAATGGGTTACGTTGGAGATCTGGCCACCTTAAGCACTGTACCCCACCACCTTTACATGAATCAATTGGAGGTGTGCGAAACACACTCCTCCGGTCTCTTTGATTTTTTCCTCATTATGGGGAGTCAATCTCTTGGTTTTGAATGCCATAATACACTAGTGAAATAATAGCTTGCTGCTGTAAATTCTGCATTAGGACTTATGTTCTTCATCTTGGAGCTTCTTATCGATCTTCTTTTATAGTTTTAATAAATTACAAACAGGCGGAAATGGAGAATACCTGTAACTCGTGAATTTAAGTGTATATACTGCCAAAGATTAGATCTGTATGCAGTTCACAACTTTCAGCATCCTCGATTAATGGGGGCCAAATTGGGCAATGACCATTTATTCAGAAATAGCAATCTTGATAAAATTTTCCTTTGCCTACCTTTATGAGATATGGGCTTAGTTATAATAGAATGCTGTGCAGCGACTGACAAAAAGTAGTTGAGACTTAGAGAGATGGGGAATTTTAGTCTATTATGCAATTGGCTTAAAAGAGCTTGTAAATTGGTGGTTATGAGCTAACCATGTTCCAAGAGGTACAGTGTTTCCGAATGGAAAAACCTAGCTAAGATGTTTTTGATAACAACAGATCTGATGCCTCACATTGTTAGTTAGTATGTAGGCCTCAAGCCAATAGAATCCATGTTTTGTCATATTATAAGAACAGTCAGCTTTTCCCCATGAGTTGGAAAAGAGTTGGGACAGCACTATGATTTCTTTTAGTTAAAGAAACCGACTATAATCCTACCACCCCAACCCCCAATTGTCAGGAGTAATAAATCTTATCAATAAACTTGTTGCTCACCACTTAGTCCTTAAGAGTACGAGTGATAATTACTGTTGTCTTTCAAGACAGGTTGTAGAATACTTGTTCATAGATTCCAGGGTCAGATACGTAAGTATCCCACGAACCAGGGACGGGGATGCGTTCGCAATCCAGATCACTGAAATTGCCGACTCCAATTTCTTATTCAAACCACGGATAGAACCACGATCAAGGGAACCCCAAATTATAATCCTAACCCCAAATTACATCACTAACTAATTATTTCTTTATTGTGATGATCCTTAAGCGTATATTTAATTTGTTGTGGTTTGAATTTTTTTCGTAATAAGAATATGAAATTACTTGCATTTATTATTTACGACCATTAGCTGGTATGTTGTTTTGGATTATGCTTCGCTTTAGAACTCCTATTAGACATATAAAACAAATATCACCTAACTATGTGTATGTGAATGTAGAATTAGAGGGAAAACGATTCAGAGCAGAGTTACAAAGCAAACTATGACCCAAAATAGCGTACTAACTTAGTCTACCCCCATCGAATTGTATACCAGTAAAACTATTGCTCTGCTTACTCATAATTGAGAAGCACAAACACGGGACACAGATATGCTAGACACGGACATGAACAAGATGACACGAAATTATTCAAAAAAGTAGTACATAGATACGTTGGGGGACAAGTTATATATATATATATATATATATATATATATATATATATGTATGTATATATGTATGTATGTATATACGACAGACAGGCACTCTCACCACCCACTTATATCCCCTCTTTCAATTCTACCTCTTGACTCTAATAGCCATCTTATTCAAAAGATCAATCATCAATTAAATATATATTGATAATAATCATTCAATTCACACACACACACACACACATATATGATCATGTGATAAAGTAAATAATTATCTTAATAATAATCATCAATTCATCCATTCTTCAATTCTAACAATTCAAATTATGATATCAAATAAAAAATATAATATCATATATATTGATATACATTCATCATAAACATCCATGATTCAACTATCAATGACTTACAATTTTCATTCTAAAAGATATCTCACTTCGTAATCCTAATTTTCATCAATTTTAAAGAGCCACAATTTTATAATCTCATTTTTCATCACATTACTTTCATATAGAAAGATTATTCCAGCAGTATATAATTTCATTTGTGTCCGAAATGATGTTATATTCATGTCCTATGTGCATGTAGTGATTAGAACTATTTTAATATTGTGTCTTTGACCTACATCTCTTTAAAATTGCAAAAATAACTTACTTAATTATGAAGTTACTTGACTGGTTTTCAAAATTTTGGAAAAAATCTCAAACACATGTCCAAGAAAAGATTCCCGAGTGTGCTGGTCGTGTGTCCCCAACATGTCCAAAACGTGACTTGGACAACAAAAAAAACGGACACTCATTTTAGCGTATTTGTGTCTAAACATGTCTGACGCCGACACTCTGACAAAAATAGTATCCGTGCTTGTTAGCCTGAACTACATACCAAATCAACCTATGATCCTGGTAAAGGTAATCTTGTAATCTTGTACTTATCTTGGTGACATATGTGCATGTTAACAGAATCTCCACTCACATTCATAGAATTTCAAGTAACATAGTTGCGATGAACTTCGGCTAAAGAATCTGCATAAATGGGGAACCAACTCTTCCATTTTGTAGGTAGTGATGCCTACAGTTGAAGCAGATGTGGCATTTGGCCTTGGTAAATTCGACCTGACCCATGATGAGATTAGGTCCAGAGTGGCAAAAGCTTTGTATTCTGTCGGAATGTATGAATACTTGCAAGTATGTATCAAATCTTGCTTTTAGATTGTTAAAGGTTTTGTTAGAACTCTACATTGTACTTCATATGCAACCTTCCTTCCACTTCACTTTACAGAGACCAGTTCAAACACTTAGTGGTGGTCAGAAACAAAGGGTTGCTATTGCTGGTGCTTTGGCCGAAGCATGCAAAGTATTGTTACTCGATGAGCTCACAACATTCTTGGACGAAAATGATCAGGTGATGTTACTTAATGTCAATGATAAGGTTGCCTTCCTTTGGAAGAACTTTAGCAATTAGAAAGCCATTTGTAGGTGATAGTTTATTTTATTTAAGTTACTTTGTACTTTTTTCAGTGGATTTCTTTTCCACCATTTAGCTATACTAGCGATAACTCATGCTAATCACAGTGTGTTAATGCCTAGAATTAAGTGAAGTTTGTTGTGTGATTAGCATTCATCNTTGATTTCTTTTCCACCATTTAGCTATACTAGCGATAACTCATGCTAAGCACAGTGTGTTAATGCCTAGAATTAAGTGAAGTTTGTTGTGTGATTAGCATTCATCTTTTTAGACTGTTAAGTTTAGAGAATTAATACAATATTAGAAAAACAGAGAGTGGTCAAAAACTTTTAACCTACCTCTCACTAACAACTTGCATTTATAGTCATCTCGTAAACATACAAAGGACGGATGTGTAATTACATAATAATAATACTCTCAATACTCCCCCTCAAGCCGGACTGTATATATCATATAATCCAAGCTTGGAACAGATGACTATAGGATGAGTACAAGTCAATGCTTTGGTAAACATGTCAGCAAGTTGATCTTCATATCTCACAAATAGAGTTGTAATATCTCAAGTTTTTATCTTATCCCGAAGAAAGTGACAATCGATTTTGATATGTTTGGTTCTTTCGTGAAATACTAGATTAGCAACAATATGAATAGTCGCTTGATTATAACATAACAATTGTAAAGGAGACTGAATTGGATAACCAATTTCCCGAAGGAAGTGTAATAACCATGTCAATTTACTAGTTGTATGTGTCATTGCTCTATACTCAGTCTCGGTATTGGATCTTGCTACCACTATTTGTTTCTTGTTTTTGCATGTGACAACATTATTTCCTAAAAAAGTATAATAATCGGTGGTTGATCTCCAATTTGAGGGAAAACTAGCTCAATCAGCATCCGAAAAATATTTCATTCTAAGATGTCTATTGGTTCGATACAAAGCCAAGACAAGGTGCACGTTTGAGGTCTCGAAGGATGCGAGTAATTATCTCCTAATGTGGGACTCTAGGACATCTCATAAATTGACTTACTACACTAACTGTATAGGCAATATCCGATCGGGTAATAGTGAGATAATTGAGTTTTCCAACCAACCTACGGTACCAACCCAAATTCTCAAACAGTATCCATCATCCATCAACAATTTCTGGTTCGGATCCATAGTAATATCAATTGGTTTGCCACCCAACATACCTATTTCTTCTAACATGTCATGTACATATTTTTTCTGAGATAAACAAATACCTTGTTTAGATTGGGTAACCTCAATACCCAAGAAGTATCTAAGTTTTTCTAGATCCTTAGTGTGAAATTGATCCAGGAAGGTTTTTAACTTAACAATACCCTCGATATCATTACTAGTAATGACAATATCATCGACATAAACAACCAATAGAATATACCCTGCATCAGTCAGTCAGTGAAAGACAGAGTGGTCTGTTTGACATCGAAAAAGATCAAACTCTAAAATTGCATCTGAAAACTTACCAAATTATGCCCTCGGTGACTATTTCAAACCATATAAAGATTTTTTTAACTAACACACATTCTTACTGTAATCCCCTTCGAGCAGTAAACTTAGGTGATTGCTCTATGTAAACCTCTTCAGCCAAGTCATCGTGTAAGAAGATATTCTTGACATCTAACTGAAATAAGGCCAATCGAGATTATCGGCCAAAGAAATCAATACACAAACATAAGCAATTTTGACAACAGGAGAAAAAATCTCCTCATAATTAACACCATAGGTTTGAGTAAAACCCTTAGCAACAAGACGGACTTTGAGACACTCAACAGAACCATCCAGATTAAATTTAATTGTATACATTCATCTACAACCAACAGTCCGTTTATCAAATGGTGAACATAAGCTCCACTATGACGTAAGACATTCATCTCCACTTCCATAGCTTTCCTTCAACCCGGATCAATCAATGCACCCTGTAAAGTCTTAGGAATAGAGATAGTAGAAGTTGATAAGTAAAGTGAGAGAAGACAGGAGACAAAGCATCATAAGAAACAAAATTAGTAATAGGATGTTTAGTCACACATGATTGAGTACCTTTTTGAAGAGTAGTAGGTAAAGAGTCGGAAGTATCTGAGTAACTAAGATCAAGAGATGGCAAGGGCACCTTAGTCGATGATCGTGGACGGCAAGAGTATACAAGAAGCGGGGAAATATATGGTAGCATAGCAGGCAGCGAAATAGCTGACGATAAGGGAAGTCATACGAGAGTAATTATCTACAAATGATACAAAATAAGAAAATTTATTAAAAGAAATATTCTTTGTTGGATCTCCATACATCAGAATGTACTAACTCATACATCAGAATGTACTAATTCAAATAGATAAGACAGATTTATTGACTCTAGACTGAAATAACATAGTGATACTTACTAAGTTGACAAGTTTCACAAGACAATTCACGGTTCAAAGCATCGGTTGAGACTGATATGACTCGGCTGAGTTGTATCCATCTTGGCCATGACCAATCCGATATCGATACACGATACATAAATATCACGAGTCACTCATGATTCGGCAGTGAATCGATTACAACTCGGTAGTATCGGCTCGACTCGGACTTATATCGTTTGAATCGGGTGAGTTACATTGGACTCAGACCGATACTGGTAGAAACTTAAGCAAAATCTCCAAAATCAAAATGGCAAAGAAAAAAAAAGAGATGGAGAAGAATATCTAATACCTAAATGGGCATTTTTCAAACCCTAATTCACAAAAAATTATAAGCAAATTCACCCCCTTTTGCAATTACAGAAATAGAAGAAAAATTGAAAGAATTGTAAGGCATGCCTGTTAAAATAGAAGACACAGAAAAACCCCCTCTTTCTTCTTTTTCTTCATCATCATCAGAAAAGCCCTAGCATCGCAGATGAGTCAAAGACTCAGATCTCTCCCAGCAAGCCTTCAGTGACCAGTGTCGACTCCCAGACCCATCGCGTCTCTCTCTCTCTCTCTCTCTCTATTGATCGCATGTTTTCTGTTCGTTGGATTCTGAGAGTTGAAGAGAGAGTTTTTTTTTAGTCAAAATATGTGAGGCTTTGGCCTTTTTTAAGAATGAGACCCAAAAATTTATTTCCCCCCCCCCTTTTCTTTTTGTTTTTTCGGTGTTGGTCCAATTTTTTTAATTATATAATTTTTAGTATTTATCATATAATCTAAGTAGAACTTAATTTCTTAAGTTTGCTTTTGTATATGTATTGATGATTTAATAATTAAATGTACATAATGGAGAAAATACATATAATTTCTAATTAGATACATATTAAATAAGTAAATAAATAATTTCTTTATAAATAGATTTTCATTTTTAAAGTTATTTAAGTTAACCATATATATACACTTATATTTTTTTTATAATTTTAAAAAATTACAAATTAAATTATATTAACCTTGAATATAGATGGTAATAAATATTTTTCGGTAGCATCCTTATTATTCTTTTTTGTAATGATTAATGTGTTAAATAATATCTTTTAGGGATATGATGCATAAATGATGATATTTACATTTATTACAATTTGTTTCTAATTTTTTCTAATTTTTTTGAACCTTTTATATAGTGTTTTGGGCGTATCGGCCGATATCGCGCCGTGATGTCGCGATCGATGTGTCTCAGTGGCCCTTGAGTCAAGGGCTGATACTGCAACTTTGAATCATGCAAGACATAGATAACACAACTAAGATTGTGAACTTAATGCTTCAAATGCTAGAGGGAGTGATGACCAAGACAACAATGTCACTTAAAGGGAGATAACGAGGTCTGAAATGCTCAAGAAGGGAAATTAAAGGCAAAATAATAGAGATCACCGACTTCATGTCCCGTACCAATCGTCCTCTTGTCTGGAGATCTTAAACTACACAATAAGATGGATAAAATATTACTGAACAATTAAGAGGGGGTAATTTTGCTAATGAAAAGTAAACTAAAAAGAAATTGAGGGACAAATAAAACGGATGATAAGGACATAGTTGAACTCAATTGAATAGTCTCCGAACCTGAAACCTTAAAAGAAGTATCATTAGTAAGGCTAGTACTATGTGAGAAAATAACAGAATGATAAATAAAAAAGATAATGGACGGGAAACTGCGAGAAGAGGACAGTAAATAAGTAGAAGTGGTACTTGGGCAAAAGTAGTAGTGGGAGATGGAGAAGCTTACTACCCAGCCATGAACTGAGCCGCCATGAACTGAGCATACTCTTCTCGTGATAGTGACTAACTCGGGGTAAGGCGGAGCAGATAGAGATATTGGAAGCTGGTATAGAAGAAGCGGTACTGTCTTGCTTGGATTCCATAGTAATATAAAGTAGGAGCACTCAAAGAACAAAGGTGAGAAAAGACCCTAAGAGTTGCACGGAACAGTAGAGTAGGGATGGTGGGAGAGGCTGAACCGGACAGAAGAGGCCACTGGAATGCTGAACCAGACTGAAAAAGTTTGTTGGACCGCTGAATCGGACTGAACAAGCTGTTGGAATGCTGAACCAGACCAAAACCAATTGTTGGACCATTGAACCGGGCAGGGCAATCTGCTGGAATGCTGAATCGGACTGAACAAGCCTGGTGGAACACTGAGCCAGACCAGAATTAACTGCTGGACCACTGGACCGAACCAGAATCAACTGCTAGACCACTGAATCGGACCAGAACTGGTCTAAAGAGGGCTGAGCCAGAATGAACTTGAACCGGTCTGAGAAGAGATGAATTGAACCGGTCTGAACCTGAACCCAGTATGTTGGGCTCACCTGAGCTAGGCTGAAGTCCTGAAGTTTTGGGCTTGAACTGTGGGCCTTGGATTAGGCTGGACAATTAATTTAACATGTGGACCAACAAATAATTAGGTTGGGCAATTAATTGAGGATTGGGCTAGGCAATAAATTGAGCCCGTGACCATCTGATGGGTTATGAGCCGACGGATCAACCCAGCTCCCAACGGACTTCGTCTTCTCCACGTCGTAGGGTTCTATTGAACCCTAGTTGCAGACTGTGTGTAACACCAGGCCAATCCCAAACCACAACAACTACTTCCAACCACCTGCGACCACCACAACACACCCACAGAAGTTGCCAGTGACAACACAGCAATGGAATTGAGTAGTAACAACAACTCGATCACTGCGCCTC